AAAATAAGGCCACCGCTTTAGGTGCCAAACTTTAGGAACTCATATTGGAAGATTTTGGCAGTACCTACACAACCTAAGTGTTATTCAAAACAACTGAAATAATTGCAAATATTGGTCCTGCCTTGGGGTTTTATAGGAAATAGATTTTACATTGAACTTAAATAAACCAAAAGATCTTGCAGCCTGAATGCTTTTAATAACTTCACTTAGTAATATAGAAAGCAGAAATAGGTGGTATTGGATATGTTAGTCACAACAGTCACAGGACTGTCTGCAAAAGGCAAGTTAAAAACAAGAGATGCAAGCATGGAGTACACCAGAGGAATGTACCATTCTAAGCGGTCTAACCCGTTAAAACACTTGCAATACACCTCAAACTCACACAAGCTCCAACTTGTTTTCTTGCATTTTTAAGAACTATTTAGAATAGCTTTCAGCAGGTCTAAACCAATTTAGTGCCAATGTGGACAGCATGAAGATGCTTCAGATAGGCCTCCCACTACTGCCCCACAGGGGACTGATGGCCTTTCCAGGTCTTCCTGTTTCTGTAAGCTATGCCAGGAACTGGAGGATAGGTACCCAAAGGCAGTGCAAATTAAACGGTTGAAACAATGCCAGTATGGACAAAAGCAAGATAGTGTGAATTGATATATTGGCAGGCTCTAATACAAATAGTTACAAACAGCAGAATTCTCCACTGCAGATCCAGCTTTTGGATGGTGAAGTCTATGGAATTTTTATAATACAGAGGCTAGTTCTGGCCATCAGCCAGTAACTACTGAGTCACAGCTGTATGTGGCAGTAGCTACCATAAAATAGCACTCATTTAACTGGCAGATAAAAGCCACAAAATAGAAAAAAGGAGCAAACTCAGCAGCTGAACTGTACTGATACAAATTTATGAAGAATAATTGCACAGTCTAAACCAATATACAACATAATTTACAAGTGAGGAACTTCTAACAGCAGGCAGATTAAGGTAGACAAGTACACAGACAGATAGCAAACAGATATATTCTCTGTGTATATATAAAGTCTGCTGCAGTTTCCACGGTATGCATCCGATGAAGTGAGCTGTAGCTCACGAAAGCTCATGCTCAAATAAATTGGTTAGTCTCTAAGGTGCCACAAGTACTCCTTTTCTTTTTGCGAATACAGACTAAACGGCTGTTACTCTGAAACCAGAGATAAGAGAATTAATCTTTGGCTGTCTGCCTCTCTGTTTATTTTTAGATAACCCAAAGCAGTTCCTTCCCTGCTATTGCTCAACTAGATAACACATTGAGAAACAGTTTTGCATCTTAAGAATTATGGATTTGGTAGTTTAACCCTTTTTTGAGAGCACCCTGCACTCTTGAGATGGATGTGGGATGGGTGACCCCTACTCTTCATAACCATATCCTAACACTGTTGCTGCCATCTATCTTTTTTCTCTTTCCTGTCAGTCTGCTTTTCTGTCTCTTCTCTTTTCTCCTCATTGTCTTTTTCCCTTTATTTCTTTTTCCTTGCTCTGTTACCAGGCTCTACTCCTCTCTTCCACCCTTTCTGTTGTAGTTCTGACCCTTTCCCATCCCCATTCACCAGAAGAATCCATGATGTCTAGGGTGCATGATATCCACTGATGGCACCCAAGGCTCACTGGAGTGCTGAAGGAGTGGAGAAAAGAACTTGGGCTGATGGGCAGCTGCCTGAGCCTGAAGTCTTCTATATAAGAGCTGCTCCCCCTATCAGCTGTGTGGGGGGGCCACAGTGGCTACAGGGAGGGAAGGTGGGTGGCTTTCAGTGCACAACCTGACATTTTATCTGCAGACACAGCAATGCAGGAGGAAGGTGGAGATTTCACCTGCAACTTTCCCACCCATGTTATCTTCTCTTCTGCCCTGAAGCTCCTAACTTGCCTAATCCCCCCTCTCACCTCCCCGACCACCGGGAAACATTGCTTTAGAAGATGAAAGTTCTACAGTGAAATTATCCAATAAAGAAATTTAATGTTCTTTTTAAGAACACGTATAGCCAGTGTTGTCTTTTCAACGTGTGCGGGGCTACAAATGAAACAGTTACCTTAAAATACTTAACAATGAGGTTGCAATTACAAAGTTTTCAATAATAATAGTAATAATAAATAATTAGTTGGAGGAGAGAACTGAGTGGAAAATAAATATGAGAAAAAAAGAAGTAGAGCAAGAACATGTGATGAAAACATACCAAGTAGCAATGCTCAGGAAAATAAAAATAAAAAAAAATGGGGATCAACAATCAAAGCAGTGAAATAAAAATGGTAGCAGGATTTTAAATAGTCTCTGAAAAAAGGTCAAAAGGGTTGGAAAAATAAAAAGTTTAGTGCAGAGGACATTAGACCATTGGTAGAAAAAAATAAAAGTGAGGCCATCATCAAACAAAAGGATAGCGGGTAAGACTGAGAGCTTCAAATGTGAGAGGAAGGAGAGATCCGTGGAAACACACACACACAAAATTGGAATATATGGAGCACAAGAGCTCAAAGAGGCAAGACGACAAAAAGAAATTAACTGAATGTCTGCTTGGCTAATGCACAAGACATTAATTTTCTAGATGTGCCCTATATCTGACTGTACAAAGTGACACTATCTCACCACAAGAGTCAATATACCAATCATGTAATATAACTACCACGTAATTTGATCTTGGGACAGAGCATAGTCAGAGCTGTTAATGCTTCCCTCATCCATGGGTCTGCGCACATGAACTGAAACAAAAGAAAAACAAATACTGGAGCTTCCCTCAGTACCCCTATTCTATATTTAGAGTTTTAAGGCTGTTTTAAGGTGGTGACTAGTAACTGGCCAATTTGAAATTCTTTCTAATCCAAATAAAAACATGTATGAGTAGAAGAAAATCACAGCAAAAAATATGAAATTGAACAACCTATTCACATATCTGTTGTTACTGATTAACAGCAGTTATGTCTTGCCCTCCACTAACTCCTCCTGTTGTCCAGTATCAGTTCTTAAAATGGTCTGAAAAAAGTGAGGGGGGTAGGTAGGAGGGGGTCTAGCTACAGAAATGAAATTGCTATCACATCGCCTGACTTTTCATTAACTCTGGCCCCACATCTGTCTTCCTACTCTTCCCCCCCCCCCAGTTCTTCCTACAGTTCCAATTGTTCTTCACCTCCCACTTTCCCAGGCCTGGGAAGCTGCAGCAAGGTCCCCTTCTCCCCTTTCCCAGGAGGGGTGTTGCAGAGAGGCAGGGTTGGGGGGGGGGGGGAGAAGCAGAGGAACTGGCCAGTTGGTCAAAGGAAGGCAGGTAAGAGGAAGGGGTGTAGCTGCACTAAGCTGGTGGGCTATTTAGCTCCCTCCTCCCCTCCTGTGAGATTATTGCTGGGTAATTGAGGAGAGGAAGCTTTGCCTGCTTCCTGTAACAGTCCTGATTGTCTGGACTGTCAGGAGGGTAGGGCAGTGGGAAAAGCAGCCAATCAGAAGGGAGTTTCCCCCAGGCTGACCAGAAATGCTCCCTCAACAATCCAGCTGGAGTTGTAGAAATGTTATTTGTGGGGTCAGTGTCCCCTTTTGACCAGGCACACTTTAAGCATTCCTTATAGCAGTTCTTCAGCAGTCTGAGTCTAAGCATAGCAGATAGATTATGGACCCCTGCAGAAGGGAGGCCAAGGCTTAGCTACCTCATTGGAACCATCCCTGAGCAGCGGAGTTCCTAAGAATCGTATTGATGGAGAGCTGGGGCCCAGAACCAGGTGGTGATACAGGGCCTCTGTATAGGTGGTCCAAGCCCCCCTGGAATCCACCAGGTTTCTGGGAAGGCCCAGTATCCTCTTGTGTGGATGGGCAAACCCCATCCCCCTGATGGATGCTGAGAGGAAAGTATGGTTAGGTCTATGTTTCAAATTTGAGTCAATAGGAAAGGAACATCCTTACTTCCCACTGCTGATTAATGGGATATTTGAAAGGTTGCTCTTCTCATACCTAAGAGAAAACATAAGTGTCCATACCACAAACAACTCACCTTCCAAATTTTCACTGGTAATCTCCAGACTGAAGGGTCATGGAAACTGAACTATCGGTCACTCTTGCAGGTGCATCAACCATGAAGCATATAGGGAAGAAATGTGCCTCTGTCCCTAGTGGACCTGTTTTATGTTAAGGGACTTTAGCATCAGTTCAGTAGATTTAAACATATTCACTTAGAAAAAATGTTTAATTATAAAATGAAATAAAAGTTACAAACTTTGGAGGAAAAGGGATAAGTATGAATTACACATACAGCTAACACGCCTAAGTAAATCAACAAAAAGTCAGTGGTAGACAAAAAATTGTTGTGATAAAACTCTTTGTATTACATTAAAAGAGTAGGAAAAATGTTGATTAATCATGCTAAAATTTATTTACAAATATGACAATGCAGATGTGTGTGCTATGTAGCTAAAAAAGCAAAAAATGAAGAGGTAGGATAGAAGGAAAAAATATGGAAACTGATAGAACAGAGATGAAAATCACATCTTCCTTGGCACCAAATCATGCCCCTTATCCACTCCACCTGTTTTTCCCAACCGTCTTTGAAAAACTGATGTTTCTTTATGTACAAAGAGTTTTTCCTTCTTTAAAGGAAAAACTCAAATGATCAGATTCTCTTTGTTTCCTCCAAAAAGACAGATTAGCTTGAGGTTATTGATAACTTTTTGGAAATTTACAAGCATTCCCCCTTCGGCTAACTCAGAAAGACAACTGGATTTATCAACATGATTTATGACTTAGCCTCACATGTTGAACACTCATTGTTGATCTCTCTTATAGATTAAAGGAAGGGATCAAAAACATGCCCTTCAACTCCATTCCTTTCTGCCTGTCTTCCAAGAGATTGAGGAAATATTTTAGTTTTCTTTGAATTGGTATCTGCAGAATGAAAGCATTATGCAATTCGCAGTCAGTCATGCAAATTTTTATTTGTAAGTTATATAGTAAAGGAATAGATTTATGTGCATTAATCCTTCTCTCACCATTTTTCAGACAACTGAAACGTGAATTTCCTGGTGCTGTGATTCTTAGCACTGATGACTTTTTCTTCACGGAAGATGGCACCTATGTGTTCAGTCCTGATTGTCTAGACGAAGCACACTTATGGAACCAAAAGAGAGGTGATGGAAACCATTCCTAGTTTCTTCACAGTCTTAATAGATTCACTCATATCAGTCTGTCTACGTACTTATATGGCCTTCAAAACCATAACATTTCAGCTTAGTATCCTTGCATTATAGTGACACCCGAAGATGAGTGAGAGCAAGTTTAACTTCCATTGAAGTGCATGGCTTGTCAGTCTTCTTAAAAACCATAGGATTTACAGTCTCCAACTTTGTTCTCTAGGATGTTAAAGAAATAAATTCAGTATTACATGAACGAACTTTGATAAACTCATGGCTAATTTTGTTTTTAAAAAACTTTTTTAAGCAGTACATACTTACTATAGAAGTGCAGATGTTGCGAAATTTAGATATCGATGTGGTGTAGAAACTCCAGCTGACATTGTTCAGAATGTAGCAGCTTAACCATCTACAATGATTAATTTGTGGCTTTTACACTAGGTATTTGTTGTGTCAAAGAGATGGTTTACAGAGTTTATTAGAAAGATATTTACTAGGTTTGGGAGCTGAATAACAGTAATATTTTAGGGAGAAAATTGTGACAGTCTTTTAAAGAGATTGATGAGTGTGAACTTGTGTATATCAATATTACAACATTCTATTTACTCCTGGGGGGATTCTCTACCAAAATATTAAAAATTATGCACCAAAAAGTTAAAAATTCTGCTTGTTTTATTTGTCAATTTGTCAGTTTCAGTTGTTTTGGTAGTTATTTAAACTACAATACTGAAAAAAGTCACAATAATTATTCAGCATTTCCTAAACACATGAAAGTTAAGTTACAAACAGTTGTAACTAATACCCTGCATTTGAGTTATCATCCTGGATTTTCATTTAAATTACATTATGCCAAACAGGAAAAAAAAAGTAGAATGTAATTTTGAATTGCTCAGACTTTCACACATGAAAGTCATACAGTTTTGCTAATCATTGTCCTGTACCTGGCTGGGTACTTTGAGAAGTGCTTGGTTCTGATTGTCCTGATATTTTATTGACAGCTTGGTAAATGTTTTATTTGCCCTTAAAGTCTTTTTTTTTTAAATGGGTAAATAAAATAAAGCCTGAGCTGTAATCTAACTCTATTGTGCCACTTTGGCACAGGAAAAAAGTGAAAAAGCACAGATCTTCCTAGCTGATTCCCTTACTGTCATTTATAAGGCTTTACATCACTCTGGCAACGTAGCAGCCTTAAAATTGTTTACAGGTTTTATGCTCCTGGGGGAATTGACTGAGAATGGGAACAGTTAACTAACAATAGGAACATTAACAATGTTACTAGGCAGGCAGGCTGCTCCATTTCTGCCCCAGGGAATGAGAGCAGTTAAGTAGCAGGCAGGCTACTACATTTCTGCCTAGGGGACAGAGCCTTCCTCTTGCATAATAAAAAGCCCTACCCCTCCATGCTGGTGTCTCTCCCTGGTTGGCAGGCATGCACACCCAGCCCCGCCCCCTGACAGTGATCAATGTCTCCCTGTGGTGATTTCCGTCTCTGAGGCTTCTCCAGGCACACTGGAACAGACGCGCTGCCTGGGAAGAGGCGCATGTGCCCCCGCAGATTTCTTTTGCATTTTTCTGCATGGGGGCAGAATTCTGCCAGGAGTATATATTGTACCAAAGTGTATTTATCTCTGCTAGCAATCACCCTTTATAAATATTTCATTTACATTGCTACTGCTTATATAAATCAAAGTATGTTCTAAAACTAAATATCAATATTTAGAATAAATTATTTTTAATTCAAGTTTTACTACTGAGCACATCCACTGGCTACTTAACATCTTCTAGCAATTTTAAAAGCGTTAGCTGATTACAGTCCATCATTATTTATTTTCATTGTGATGGGCATAGGCACCGATTCTCCATGGCCCCACCCCTGCACCACTGTTGCCCCACCCCAATTCCACCCCTTTCCCCCAAGTCCCTGCCCCGTCCCACCTCTTTACTGCCTCCTCCCCCAAGCACGCAATGTTCCCACTCCTCCCCCTCCCTCCTAGAAAGTCCTAAGCACCGGCAAACAGCTGTTAGGTGGCAGGTGGGCAACGCTGGGAGGAACGCTGGGGTCATGGTGCACTCGGGGGAGGAGGAGGCGAAGAGGGGGTGCAAGCGGGGGGGAGTTTGGCTGCCGGTGGGGGCGGAGCACCTGTTAATTTTTCCCTGTGGGTGCTCCAGCCCCGCAGCACCCACGGAGTCGGTGCCCTATGGTGACGGGCCCTCAAAGTCCAAGTCAGGAATGGGACGCCACTTTGCTGGGGGCCGTACAAATAGAGCAGCGGTTCTCAAACTGTGGGTTGTGACCCCAAAGTGGGTCATGACACCGTTTTAATGGGGTCAACAGGTCTGGCATTAGACTTGCTGGGGCCCAGGTTGAAGCCAAAGCCAGAGGGCTTCAGCCCTGGGCAGTGAGGCTCAGGTTACAGGCCCCCTTCCCGGGGCTGAAGCCCTTGGGCTTTGGCTAGTCCTATTCCCCCACTGGGGCATCAAGGCTCAGGCTTTGGTCACCCCGTCCTGGGGGTCGTGTAGTAATTTTTGTTGTCAGAAGGGGGTCACGGTCCAATGAATTTTTAGAACGTCTCAAATAGAGAATGTCTTCAGTCTGGATCCATCAGTTGTCTAGTGCCACAGGACTCTTTGCCGCTTTTACAGATCCAGACTAACATGGCTACCCCTCTGACAGTTGTCTGGTGTTTTTGAGCTTTATTTAATGTTATGTTACAGCACATAAAGCAATGAAGAATGGGAAATCCCCGGTTATTATTGATAATACCAACATCCACGCTTGGGAAATGAAGCCATATGTGATTATGGTAGGGAAAACTCTGATTGACTATCATTCTAAATGCGTAGCTATGAAATTTAAGAGGTGGACTGATTGAAAAAAAAAAAAAAGGGAAAATATTTTTAAAAATTAGTATTTCAATTTTTCTTTTGATCTTCAGTTATATTTATCAACAGAAGTGGGTGAAGAGGTTTGCCTGTGTACATGCTAATAAATTCTTTAGTTCAGTAAGAGCAAAAATCATGTGAAAATATTGTCTGTTGTTAAACTTACCTGATAATTACTAAGAGATCAACCTGTAATTTTCCTTCCCCCAATAATAGTCTAGATTTAACAGTTTCCGTATTGTTTATCTGACAAACATATAAAGTCCTAATTTATGGCCTTAGTTTAGAGCTTGCTGTGTGGAGATCACACAAAGAGTCTAGAGGCTGCATTTGTATCAGCCTTTAATGGTTGGCAGAGATGGAGCTTTATTGGCAGTCTTCCTAGTATGATAGTGAGGCCAGTTAGTGCTAATATTTCAGTTATGCTTGAGTACAGCCACCTTAGATTGCGATCTTGTTAGAGTTTAAAGGGCTGAGACCTCCAAGATGCAGGAAATAATGGTGGTGGCAGCTCTGTGTCCTCTCAGCTGCTACCAAACTAGTGCTTGTGTGTAATTTTTCTAATGAAAATCAAGGTTGTCTCCACTTGTGGATGAATGCATAGTAACAGCAATCTAGATCAGAGGTTCCCAAACTGTGAACTTGTGGCTGGTCATGTGGTGCTGGCTCTCCCCCTCCTTTCCAGCTACTAAATTGGATTCTTTTTAAAAAGGTAAAAATATTTTAAATACTTTTTTTTCTAATCTCACTTTTCCATCTAAGCAATTGCTGTAGTTGCCACAGACATGTTATGTAATTGTGAATGGGAAAGAAGATGATCTGTGTGATTAGGAGTGGAAAGAATGTGGACCACCCTCTAAGTTTGAGAATTCCTGGTGTAGGTGACTAGGTACATAGTAAATGTTAAGTGCTAGCATAAATCTTCAAGAGATGTAAAAGATCTACATGGTAACTGCTTTAAAATTTGTTCACTTTTTCAAATCAGGCACGTGAGAATAACTATGAAGTTATATTCCAAGAACCTGACACACACTGGAAATTCAATGTTCGAGAGTTAGCAAGGTACATCTTTTTTCCTTAATTCGTCAGCTTGCATCTCAGTTACTTCCACATTTGTGCTAGAAGAAAGAGCAAGATTGTAAGATGCTGCTTCCTCCTTGACCATTGACTAGAAATAGTCTAGTAAATGATTAGTCGAAGACGGCTGAGGAATAGTTTTGTTAATTTAGTCCACATTGAGAGCTAAGTAACACCCAACAACTCTAGTCATGCTGAAGGGTATGAATCAATAGGAAGGGGTTCATTTAGATTGTAAGATCCTTAGGGGCAGGGATCATGTTTTTGTTCTGCACCTAGCACAATAGGATCCTGGTCCACGAAATGGACACCTAGGCACTACGATAATACAAATAAATGAATAACTATAATAATACCTACATTTTGTGACTTATGCACTTAAAATATAACCATATTATTTCTTTAATATAGTTTGGGGAGGAGTGGATGCTACATTAATAATATGCAATAAATCAGTCTCCGAAGGATCCTTCTTCAGATCTTGACTGACATCTATAAAAGGGACAAAATATTGTGGGTCTCAGAAGTGTGGCATTGTTTGCCTTATCCATGTTGCTTTTAGCTGATTATGATGATGATTCTTTATTTGTGTTATGGTAGTGGCTGTGAACCCCAGTCAAAGATCAGTGAGTTTTCCCATTTTGTGCTGCACAGACAAATACCAAAGATGATGGTCTCTACCCAGAAAGCTCACAGTCTAGCTGTCAGACAGGATGGAAATGTGGGCAAAAGAGATAAGTGGTTTGGGGACGGGGATGAGGTAATAAAATGAACAGTTTAGCTGCACAATGAGTCTTGGGTTGCCTAACCAGTGCCCAAGATGGTTAGTGATTTGCAGGTATCACAGCAGAAGTAGGTTTTAAGGATTATTATGTATTTGTAGTAAGAAGAGGACCTGAAACATAAGGCCTTGTATCAGAGGCCTGAACTAAAGTAGAAGTTAAAACTTTGTTATATGAGGCAAAGTTAGGTTGTGAGCAAGAGGAAGGCCCTGCTCACAGAATTTGGCAAGCACAGGGCTGATATTGCAGAAACACATCAGAAACACATATTCTTAAGAGGTGCTGGGCACAGAGCACTCACGCAAGCACGTTCCAGAGGGTGGTACCAGAACACCTCCATACCAGCACATTCCCCAAAGATAACAGGAACACACTGACCCATCCTAAAGATAAGGTCAGGATAACAGCATAATAAATAAAAAAGTTTTAATCAAACCAACATGTACAAGGCAACGGGTGGCACCCTAATATGTCAGGAGCAAAATTTAACTTGTTTGTATTGGTGTATAAAGATGTATCTCAGAGGGAGTGTCTTTGGCCAGCCTAGGGGGCAATGGAAAGTCCCACCACTGACTGAGCTGCGTCCATTGCGACAAGCATACATGTCTTAGTACCCTCGTAGAGTCTGCCAGGTGCTATTACCATGTTTTGTCAACAATAAACCTGGCCAGGTGCCTTCGCTGAAAACCGAGTCTGTGGATTTATTGGGCAGTTTAATTGAGGGCTGTAGTCTCCTCTATCTCCGCAGAGCTGGGACAGCACACTGAATGAACACACATGCAGTCAACATCTGACCATAGTATTAACTTTAGGGTCAGCTTCCCAATGATTTGTATTTTATTCTATTAATCAGTGGGGTGAATGTCAAAATTTCACCCAGCTGTGCAAGCAAGTGGATATCTAAACCAAATCTATCAAACACACAATTTAAGGCAACACATTGAAAAGTGATTCAGGTAAAGACGGAGGGTGGATATCAATGAACTATTCAGTCAGTACACACTGTAAAAGTGTCCCGATTTTGAAATGCTCCCCTATCCCTTAACTAAGAGTTGTACAAGATACAATGGGTTGCCTTCGATGGCAGGTGTTACAGCCCTGTCTAATCACCATCTCTTTGTGGATGGTCACTAGGCTACTGTATTAGATCCAAACCTTGGATCTCACATATTTTTAAGTCTACCGAGTCTGAGAAGTGTCCAGAAACTGTCTAAGACTAGCCTTTCAAGTACACTCCTCGGGTACAGACTCCAATGCTGGTACCCCTTCTAGGGATGTGGGGCCCTTCAGCCCAGTTGCCCCTAAGCCCCAAGACTAGTGCAGACCCAAGTCTAACTCAGTAGCTCATGCACACTCTCTAGGGTTGTACCCACATGGTTTACCACTTAGCTGTTTGAGGGCTACATGACAGTTAAAACAAGGAACACGCAGACTTTGTAAACTTAGACAAAGCACAAGAGATATACAGATGTATGGAAAAACCACCCCACATGCAAGACCCTGCCTCAGTTTCCTCACTACTCTGAAAGCCCTTTAGGTCTTAATATTCTTCAGAAGATCCACGGTCCTTTTGTATCCCCTCTCCTCCTGTCAAACCTTCCCTTCTGGTTTTGCTCTGGACTCCCCTTGCTAGAGAGTATCCCTTTTTGACAGCAGATTCTAGCACCTTTGTCTCTTTTGATTCTTCCCTTGGGGGTTTTCCATTCTCCAGTCCTCAACGTTTGTTGCAGCAGATCAGAGGCCTTACCAAGTCTTTGGTAGTCTCCACTGTGCTGGTAGGACCCTGAGTCTGTCCTATGCGGAGGGTGGCTGTGTTCCACTTGGGCTTGAACAATAACAGATCTTGACACCTGTGTTGTATGGTTCAGTATCAATGAGTGGGCAATCGAACACCATTGTCCGCCTTTCTGCAGATGTGAACTGTCCCAGGACTGAGCTGACTCTCTGCACCCATGTAGCAGACATCATGATAGTAATCAAAAAGAGCTACATATAATATTCATAAAAATAATAATGATATCGCCCATGTTCTTCACAGCAGTTTCAGCGGACTTGCCCTTGTTCCAAAGGATTCACCTAAAATTACATTCTGGCTGCCCATAAAAATATTTGGGTTACATTTTGCAGTGAAGTGGCCAACAAAGCTTTGAAAACTAGGTTAGCTGAGAGGTAGCAAAAATGTTAAAGCCTGACCCAGGGGGAAAAGAATTAGTGCATTACTGAACACAGCTGGAAGGTTTGCAAATGTAAGAAAATCCATCTGATACACTTAGAGAGGTAAATACTTACATTTTTCTGTAAATTTTAATTCTATAGAAGAAACAATCATGGTGTCCCGAGAGAAAAGATACAGCGCATGAAAGACCAGTATGAGCATGACATTACTTTTCATATCGTGCTTCACTCTGAAAAACCAAGCAGAGATGGCAGAAATTCCAATGGAACGAATGCTGCTCACAACACTGGGGCTTATTCCAATATGTGTCCAACATTCCCAAACAGAAGACCACACAGCCGCTACACAAATGAAAGATCATTTAATAGAGGTGGATTCCAGAATGTATTTCATTAGGGTATAAAAGACTAAAAAAATTTACTAATTTTACTCTCAATTTTTGTATTTTTCTACTAAATCTCTAAATCAGGAGTTATTTCTGTTAATTTACAAGTCTTAAAATATCACTGTAATGTTGTTTTGTCAATTACACAATCTGAGACCACTAAAACCAATATAAACTGTACACATCATCCCTGTCCCAGTACACCCCAGTGTTTGCCAATTTTCCTTGTTTAGTCATGTCTTAACCTTTGATTATAAATTTTGCAGGGTAGGGATGCAGTTTGTCTCTTGCCTGTAACAATCATGAACATTTATGGTGCAGTGTAAATATTATTTCTTCCTGTCTTCCAGGCCCATTCTCTCTCCTTCTCCCTCATATACAGTCTGTCACTAACGCCAATCACTTCTTTCTCCTTAATAGTTCCAGAATCCACCCTTTCTTCATGCTCTTTGTTGCCAAGACACTTGTCCATGTTGTAGTCTTTTTTAGCTTCTCTACTTTCTCCTGTCTGGCCTCAGTGCTTCTCACTTCTTCTCACCTCAGCTTGACCAATGTAAACTTTCAATTCTTCCATTGGTTTCCTGTCTTCTTACAGGAAATTCACCTTACAAGACTCTACACAACCTTCTTCCTACCTGTATCACTGCTTTCATTTCTCATGCTCTTCTCAGTCCTTTCACTTTTCTCCCCACTTTCCTCAAACTGTTTCATGCCGTCTCTCATGCTGCCCCTCTTCACCTACTCTCTCCATCCTCATCTGCCCACCGCCACCTCTCTCCTCATTCAGACGCCTTTTTTTAGCAATCCCTTTTCCCTTCCCTTCATTAATCATCACCACCTGCCTTCCCTTTTCCTCAACTGTTGTTCATAGAATCATAGAATCATAGAATATAAGGGTTGGAAGGGACCCCAGAAGGTCATCTAGTCCAACCCCCTGCTCAAAGCAGGACCAATTCCCAGTTAAATCATCCCAGCCAGGGCTTTGTCAAGCCTGACCTTAAAAACCTCTAAGGAAGGAGATTCTACCACCTCCCTAGAACCCCCCCCCCTTCCCCCCCCCCCTTCTGAAAAAAGATTTTCTCCTAATCCCCTCCCAACCCCCCCCCCCCAACTAGACGCCACCACTCCTCCTCGTTCCTCCCCCCCCCACTTGGAAGAGCCGAGAGGAGCCCTCTTTTTTGAACCCCCTTTAAGGGGGTGGAAAACAGCTATCAAATCCCCCCTCATTCTTCTCTTCTGCAGGCTAAACAATCCCAGCTCCCTCAGCCTCTCCTCATAACTCATGTTGTTCTGTATTTGTTTTCTCTTATACTGTAATCTCTTTAGGACAGAGAACATATTTTGAAGTGCAATGTGAATTACTGGCATCATATAAAATTTTAAAATAAAATAATACTAATAATAGAAAAAATAAAGACCTAAATGCTAATAATTCCATATCAGGGACATTGTAAAACCACAAGAGAAATAGAACAAGACAGCTGAGTCAATTGTCTTGCAACCTTACCTTGAGAAATGACCAAAAATGTTTGTAGTTATTCCTTTGCACATTGTGTGGGTTTTTAAGACATTTTATCACAGCACTAAGATAATTCAAGGTATGTTGACATTACCTAATATGACACCTAGATAGTTTGAAGACGCACGGCCTGATTTTTAGAGCTTCTAATATTACTATTTTGTCCTCTTCTAGCTCAATTTTTGTCTGTTTCATCCCTGTTGCACCTAGTCCAGCAGTTCTCAAACTTTAGCAACCTGGGGATCCCCATTTTTATTTAAAATTTTTTGCAGACCCTCAAGCCAGCTTCTAATATTCCCCGGGGGTGCTCAACCCCTGCTCAGCCCCAGGCCCTGCTCCCACTCCACCCCTTCCCCCAAGGCCTCACCCCCTACTCCTTCTCTTTTCGCCCCCTCCCCCGAGTGTGCCCCTTCCCCGCTTTTCCCTCTCCCTCCCAGCATCTCCTGCACGACACTGAACAGCTGTTCCGCGGCATGCAGGAGGCACCGGGAGGGAGGAGGAGGAGTTGATCAGTGGGATCAGTGGCCCTAGACATGACTTGAGGACCCCCTGGAGTACCCTTGCAGGCCCACAGAGGTCTGCGGATTCCACTCTGAGAACTGCTGATCTAGTCAATATCCTAAACTTTTGAGCTCTCTTGGGCAAGGGCACTCTATTGCTTGTTTGTACAGCTCTTAGCACAATGGGCCCTGATCCTTTATTGGGGCCCATAGGCGCTACTGTAATATAAAACTAATAACAATTAAATGGGGACTGTGGAGACTCGCCTCTGAAAGTTGGGCTGTAGGGCCTTGTTCTTCAATTTGGTGGTCTAAAGTTAGACACCTAAATATGGATTTGGGTACATTGTTTTAGGCATACAAGTTTGAAACTGAGGGGTTAGCCTTGGGTCTCATGGTTAGCCTTGTCATATTAGACCATGTGAAATCTTTTCATTCCTTATCACTCCAGGATGGACAGTTCACATACACTGCACTAGTTATGGAGTTATCTGGCATTTGATGTTGTGTGTCACACAGTATCCATGAGGAACATGACACCCTTTGTATAATATTACGTATAAGAATTTGTGTACAGATATTGGGCTTTTTCTTGGTGCTTGCGTACTGCTCTACACTCTGGTTCCTGCTTTATGGAACATCTCTTTAGTCTTGTTATTGTGTAAAACTTGATTTCTCTGGTAATTTAACTGGAAATGCACATTCTCTGTTTATGTGTTGCAGTGTCTGTAGATATGAAATCACTCTGCCTCGATCCGTGAAAAAGGGTCACAAAAACATTAAAGTAGCCTGAGAATAGTGGGCTTATTTACAACAGAAAAAAATGTAAACAGGAAAAACAAATACATTTTGATGTCATGGTTGGCTTTCCAGTTGTATTGCTTTTCACTGTGCAAACTATTGACCAAGTAGAGGGATGGCTTCCCTGTCAGGTAATCTGGGGATGCAACTCTGGCTTTATAATCAAAATAGACTGTGAACAGAAGAGGATTAAAATACACGCAATGTTTGAGATTTATAAAAAAAGCAAAAAAAACCCAAAAAAACCCGGCACACATTAATATGCATTGTTTTTCAGGTCATTTAGAGGCCTCATGTGCTAAGACTCAGGGAGGTTTGGGTGAAGAGGGAGAATTTTGTCCTGATATTTCAAAAACAGAAAGTTAGTCAAAAGGTAGTCAGACAAGCAGAAGAAATCTAAAAAACTTTGTAAGTACTTGAATGTATGGAAGTTTTCTCTTTCTAAACCATGTCAAATAAAAAGATAAAATGGGACTTTTTCTTTTCTTTTTTTAAGTGTGAGAAACTAATCTACCTTGAAAACATGCATGACCACAACCAAAAAAATAAAAAAGAATAAATATGAACCGTTTGTGTATTATAAAGTTTGGGTATTAAGGCATGCGAGCTGAGGAAGCCTTTGCCGAACCACATCATCTCTGTGTCTCAGTTTACCTGTCTATAAAAATGGAGATAATGTTTACCTACCTAATTCACACAGGAGTTATGAGCATTCACTAGATAATGTCTCTATAGTGCTTTGAACACCCAGAATGTCAAAGAACTCTAAGTATATCTTTATGGTGTGGACAAGCATGTTGGCTTAGCTGGTGATGTGCCTGATTTCTAGTGATTGCTTTATTAGGAATGTGGAATTTATTATCTGATCGTTTTCTTTCTGCTAGCAGCTCCTCCCCTTATTCATCTCTAATGAGTCAATGTGCCACACCTGTGGAATTCAGAGGACACAATGTTGTTGCTGGAAGCTCCAGGATTAAGCCCCGCCCTTGAGCTCCGGTCACCAAGAGAGTTCTTCCAAAATTGTAGAAATACTCCAGAAACCAATTATTAGCATTAAGACAACAAACTTGATATATCAATGAACCTTAAGGCAAAGAGAACCTTAAGACAAAGAAATTCTATTCCAATTGTTTATCAGGGTGGATTGAATGAGGAGAGGAGCTGCTAGCAGAAAGAAAACCATTAGGTAGTAACTTTCTGGTTCTGCAGCACAGCTTCTTTTCTCATTCATCACTAATGGCTGGTAGCAAGCAAAAAGAAAAGGAGTACTTGTGGCACCTTAGAAACTAACCAATTTATTTGAGCATAAGCTTTCATGAGCTACAGCTCACTTCATCGGATGCATAAAGTGGTAGCAAGCAGTGAATCATAGAGGGGGGAGGGTGGGGAAGAAGGAACAGAGCTTTAAGCATTATTATAATAGAACAATAGGTAGAAATAAAAGTGTTACTCCATATAAAGCCAGAGCTTTGTAATTTAAACAATTCTTTGAGGACAAACCTAGTAGCACCTTCCGACCCTAGATCAGTACTACAGAGGAATGGAAAACTACTTTGAAATCTTTATTATGTGAAGTTCATACAATTTCCCCCCACAATACCAGTAGGGTCCTTGTAGAGAGAGTCTTGATTCCTTCTCCATAAATATTTTCCTAGATGTTTAGCATGCCAACTGGGGCAGGATTTTGACATCTTGTTGCAGCAAGTTGTGGCCCTAAGGCCCTAGCCTTTTAGATGGAATGATCTGAGCAGAGTACAATTGGTGTGTGTTCTCCATATGTTTGAGATATACTTTCATCATTTTCCAAAGGGTGCTAAGGATTAAAACAAATGATGGGAGAACTATTTCCCAGGAATTGTGGAAAGAATTTACCTTGAACAAAAAGATTTCTGGAACGAAGAGTAACTTTTTCTTCATGACAACAGCACTGACATAGATTGAGGAACTAATTCCAAAATCTGTCTGTATTCCACTTAGGCTTATGCGCATGTGCCATGCACCAGGAGCCAAAGCTTTTTCAAAGTAGCAATGTCTGTCGGTCCGTGCATGCACCCTTGTACTGCATTGTGATTTTGCCCAAGGTGATAAAGGATAGGGCAGACCAACTGTGTCTTTGCTTCCTTCTCCACCACAGATCTACCAGATCCTCAGCAGAAGCAAAGGAGGGTGTGGTTGAAATACAGATAGGGACCACACATCTCAAAGAACTTCCAGTTACAGGTAAATAACCTCCCCTTCTTCGAGTGAGGGTCTCTATTGTATTCAACTGAGGGTGATTAACAAGCAGTACCTAAATAGGCGGAGGGTGAAAGGAAGATGATGGAATTGTGGAATGGAGGATCACTGCACTGAATGAGGCGTCCATCACAGAACCATGCACTAGAGTAGAGCATAATGAGAAGAAAAGGTGTGTACCGTACTCCACGTGGCTGCCTTACATATGTCTGCTAGGGGCACGTCGTGGAGCATGGCAGTAGTTGATGCTTGCACTCTCGTGGAATGGGCCCGTATCCCACCTGGTGGGTACCGCCCCAATAATTGATAGCAAAGCGTAATGCACCCTGAGACCCACTTTGAGATTCTCTGGGTGGAGATGGCCTACCCTTTAATTCTCTCCACTATGGTGACAGTTTGGGAGTTTTCCAGAATGGCTTTGTCTGTCCTTTGTAGGTAAAAGGCCAGGGCTCTGTGTATATCGAGGGAGTGGAGCTGCCATTCCTCATTTGAGGTGTGCAGTTTAGGAAAGAAAGTGGGTAGATGTATGGGTTGGTTTAGGTGGAAGCAGGAAACCACTTTTGGAAGAAATTTGGGATGCAGGTGCAGTGAAACCTTGTCCTTATGGAATGTGGTGAAACGGGAATTTGCCATCATGGCCCCCAGTTTGTCAACCCTTCTTGCAGAGGTAATAACAACCAGAAAGGCGACCTTCATGGAAAAGAGTGAAAGAGAGCAGGAAGCCAGAGGTTTAAACGGAGAGTTCATTAATGATGTAAGGACTAGGTTGAGGTCCCATTGGGAATGATAGGCTGAATGGGCGGGTATTTATGTGCAAGGCCCTTCCAGAATCAGACAGTCAAAGGATGGGTAAAAAATGACTCTCTCCACTGGATGGTGGAAAACGGTAATAGCAGCTGCGTGTACCCTAATGGAGTGGAGAACAAGCCCCGAGGTTTTCAAATGGAGCGTTGGGATACCCACAGCCTCAGGGGCAAGACCATTCTTGGGCCCAAGAAGTGAAACATTCCAATTTGGATTGGTAGGATTGTCTCATGGAGTCCTTCCTGCTGTTGAAGAGGACATCTTGTACTGCCAACAAACACTCGAGTGCTAGTGGAAGCGTCCATCCAAAAACCAAGCTGTCAGGTGAAGTGTCCGTGGATCAGGCTGCCGGAGTCTGCCATGGTGTTGTGTGAGCAGTTCTGGAAACATCAGTAGTGGGAGGGGAAGATGCTTCGACATGTGGAGAAGAAGGTGAAAACAGAACTGGTGAGGCCAGAATAGAGTTATCGTGTTGAACGTCGCCCTCTCCCATCAGAGTTTGTGAAGGATACGTTGCAGGACTGGTAGGGGAGGGAAGGCTTAGTGGATTCAGTCCAACCATTTGACGACCAGGGTGTCTCCTTGTGAAGGGGCACCAAATCCTCCCCTTGAACAGTACTGAATGCATTTGATGTTGGTGTGAAATGCAAATAGGTCCCTGATCAGAGTTCCCCAGTGACCAAAAATGTCCGCGATTACTGTGACATGTAACTCCCATTCATGGTTGGTTGCAAGGTTCCTGCGGAAGGCATCAGCAATCACATTCTGAGTTCCTGGCAGGTAGGCTGCCGAAGAAGGATATGGTGTGCAATGCACCATTTCCAAAGGCATAAAGCTTCTGCACACAATGTTGGGGACCTTGTGCCCCCTTGTTTGTTTATGTAGTAAACCGTAGTGGTGTTGTCCAACATGACGAGGACATGATGAGAACGGAGAGCTGGTAAAAACATGCAGCATGCCTTGTGCACTGCCCAAAGTTTCAGGATGTTGATGTGCATCCTGGCTTCGCGAGTGGCCCAAGTGCCTTTTGTCATGCAGTCTCCCTTGTGGGTGCCCCAGCCATCAAGTGACATGTCTGTTATGATTATCACGCTAGGGGAAGACGGAAGGAAGGGCATTCCGGAGCAAACCGGAGCGGGCCTGTCCCTCACTGAAGGGAAGAGATGACTTCTGGTGGAATGGCAAGAATTGTGTCCATGGGTAGGTATATGGGGGAGTAGACTCCCTGTAGCCATAGCTGTAGACAGTGGAAGCACAGGCAAGCAAAGGCCATGATGTAAGTGCACGCTGCCATGTGACCAAGGAGGGAAAGGCAAGTTCTGGCTAGACTGAGGGACTGGTAGTCATCAAGGTGATCAGGTCTAGTAAGCTTTGGAACCTGTCTTCTGGCAGATAAGTGCGTGCTGAGGCCGCATTGATGCATGCTCCTTGGAATTCCAGGAACTGAGGAGGATGCAAAGTCAATTTTTCAACATTGACGTTTACTCCTAGGAAGGAGAGGAGTAGAAGGAGCTGGGATGTCGATTCTTCAGCTTCCTTTCTGGATCGTGCCACCAGCAGCCAGTTATCTAGGTAAGGGAAGACAAGGACTTGACGTCAGAGGTGAACCTCTACCACAGAGAAAACCTGTGTGAAGACCCATGGGGTAGTGGCAAGTCTGAGTGGGAGAACCCTGTATTGGAAATGTCGAGGACCCACCATCAATCTCAGGAACCATTTGTGGGTTCTGTGAATGTCGATATGGAAGTAGGCATCTTGCCTAGTGAGCCATGTGGAACTCCAGCTTGTGAATGGAACGGTTGAGGTGTCAGACATCCAATATTGGTCTTCATCACCCCTTCTTCTTGGGTACCAGAAAATAGTTGGAACAGAAGTCTGTGCTGATAGGCTGCAGGGACTGGCTCCACTGCTCCTCTCTGCAGGAGGGTGTCCACCTCTAGAGTAAGCATACTGTTATGAGAATGATCCTTGGGCCACGATTGGGGCAGGAGAAATGGAGGAGATAGCACCATAGACTCGATGGTGTAGCCATGTCGAATGACATCCAGGACCTACTTGTCCATTATCACTCTCCATACTGGCAGAAATAGTTTGAGATGACCCTCAAAAGGGTGGCTGGCAAGAGAGTTGAGATGCAAAGAGGCTAACGGCTCTCTAGTCGAACTCAGATATATCACTTACATGAAGACTGGGGCTGGAGCACCCACTGGGAAAATGTGGTGGGGGCTGAGCATCCACCGGCAGCCCCCCTATCATCTGCCCTCCACCCCGAGCGCTTCCTGCCCACGGAGGGCCCCATGGATCAGCACCTCTCCCTCCCTCCCTGCACCTCCCGCCCACCATGAACAGCTGTTTTGTGGCATGCAGGGAGGCTGGAGGGGGAAGAGGTGGGGTGTGGGTGGGGCCTGGAGAGAAGGGGTGGAGTGGGGGCAGGGCCTGGGGCACAGCCAGGAGTCTAGCACCCCCCGGCAGTTTGAAAAGTTGGCACCTGTGGCAGACAGGATCTGTGAACCTTTGGGTGTTTCTGTGGAGGCATGTAGGCTTGGTGATAGAAGTGGGAAGACCGGTAGCATTGTGTAGGCGGCGGATGGTAAAATTTCCGCTTTGATTCTGGCATATATATGCCTAAGGAACACAGGGTGGCTCTGGAGTCTTTTAGCGAGTTCAAGGAGTCATCCGTCTTCTGACGGAGCGATATGATTCATCCAAAGGGAGGGCCTCAATTGTTTTCTGTACCTCCCTAGGGAAACCTAAGAAATGCAACCAGAATTCCCTCTTCATGATAATTCCAGTTGCCAATATGCACGAGGACATGTCTGCTGAATCAACTGCTGCGTTAAGTACGGACTTAGCGATTAACTTGTTTTCTTCTAAAATAGCTTGGAATCAGGCAAGATCCTGTTGAGGTAGCTTATCAGCCAAATCCACCATCTGTCCACAGTTTACAAAATCATAGTTGGTCATCAATACCAGGTAGTTTGAGATCTGGAACTGGAGGTTGACTGAGAAGACTTTTCGACTTATAAGGTCTAACCTCTTGCCCTCATCAGCAGGTGTGGAGTGTAGATGCTGTTTTTTAGCCTGCTCCATAGCAGCCAGAATCATCAGGGAATTGGGTGGAGGATGTGAGAACAGAAACTCAGACCCCTTGCAGGGAGACATAGTATCTCTTTCCTGCCCCTTTCAGGGTGAGGGCACACGTGGCTTGGGTTCGCATGGTGCCTGCTGGTTGTAGAATGGCATCATTGATTGGTAGGGCCACCCTGGCTGGTACTGATGTGTGCAAAATGTCTAGTAGTTGGTGTTGACTGTCCTGTACCTCTTCTAATGGGTTCTGAATAGCGTTAGTTATCATCTGTAGCAGCTCGTGAAACTGACAATAGTCGTCTGGAGGAGAGGAGGGTATCGATGACACAGCCATGTGCGAGAACGACAAGGGAAACCTCTCCGGATCTGTCAGGGCCAGGCTGATTGGTGCATAATCTAGCACTGGTTCTGAACATCTATTTGACAAATGATGAGGCAGTGAAACAGAGGAGTCCTCCCACATTGAAAGAGACTGTTCCGAAGCCAAATATTGGGGCCACAAGCTCCAATATGGCCAACCTGGTTGATCCTGCTGATACAATGGTGGTGCCCAAGGAGTCAAGTACCAGTGACTCCTGGGCTTAGGTAAGGGAGGGTATTGCCACGGTGCTGTCGGAACCCTCTGATAGTTATGTCTTTGGAATGGAAGTGGCAGGCCATGCATAACATCCGGATCCTCAGACTCAGAGTCCTGTACAAATGGCGATGCCGACGGAATGGGGTGTGTGTAAGAACACGTCCAGAAGGTGGTGGATCCAAGACACTGGATGGAGCTCTCTTAGTAGGTGAGAGTACCGGAACACACGGAGACCTCATCCTTTCCAGAGAGAACAACTCAGAGATAAAGGCCCAGGAGCACTTCCAAGTTTCCCTAAGTCAATGGTACCTTGGTCTACGGACGGAACCAGGGCAAATAAGGAAATCTGTCTCAAGCCTGACGACTCACAGGATACCAGCGGAGCTGATGCAGGAGGGGTCTGGGACTGGCAGATCTGGTGAATGATGTGACTTTTTGTCACTCTTGTGGGCCTTGGAACGCAGTGCTGCTCCATGGCTGGAACTCGTGGATGGGTTCTTTCTTAGACCTGGAGGAA